ATATATACTTTTTTCAATTACTAATGTTACATATTTTTATTTTAATTAATTAGTATATATTTTTTAATTCATTTTAAAAGCAAAAATGATGAGTTTAAAAAAACATAGATATAGTGCAAATGTATAACAATTAATTAAAAATAAAAAAATGTATGACATTACCTATTAAAGTGAGTGTAATAATAACCTTAATAATCCAAGCACTTAAAAACAACTTTGTCAATTCTATTAGCACAACAAAAGACATATTAAAAAGGAAAAAGACTCATTTTATTGTCTTTCAATTTATTTACATTTATACCCAAAAAAAAAAATTGAAGTTAGAAAAAGCAATCACCCACATCATGTTTTTTAGGTCTTATAAAGACAATTTTAACCGCTCAAGCTTTGAGACTTTTGTTTAATTTCTGATGTCATTCCTTTATGGCTGTTTTATTTCGTTAATGTCTGATATTGCATTTTGCTATTAAAAAAAAGAGTTTTTAAAATTAATTTATAAAAAATACACAAATACTTGTAAAATTATTTAAATGTTCCTATCAAATCACACATGCATATTAATTAATTAATAATATATTTAAGTAAAAAAAACTACATCGAAAAACTATAGAAAAATATTAAATAAGATTACACTATTCATTCATTTTTGTTATATTTAATTTAATTTGTTGACTTTTTAAATATAAATTTTAAATAAAAATTTAATAATTTATATAAATAATAATTAAAAAATTTATCTATATGTATAATTCTTAACAAGTATTTTCATATGATAACAAATTATAATTATTATTGATATAATATATTAAATTTTTATTTAAAAATTTAATAAATCAATCTAAAATTATTAAAAATAAATAAAATGAACACGAAAGAAACAATAACCGACACAAAAGTCCACTTGTTTTGTGGTTTATAGCAATACAACTTTTACAGCCGCGTATTTCCTTCTAATCAACGACACATGTTTTTCTTCTTCCACCTTCATTAACACGGGAAAAAATTCCCTCCTTCCATGTTACCATGTACCCTGAATGGGTGTTTTTATTATTTTTTAAGCGTTAAGGTTAGGATTTAAATCTTGTACTTATCAAGTTTAATACGATAAGTTCTTTAAAAAAAAAAAAATTCCACTTATTTTGTGCTTTACAGCAGTACAACTTTTACAGCTGCGTATTTCCTTCTAATCAACAACACATGTTTCTCTTTTTCCACCTTCATTCACACAGGAAAAAACTCTCTCCTTCCATGATGCTTCTGAAGAAACAAGACTAATATGTACCCTGAATTGGTTATTTTCTTTTTCTTTTTTTTTTAAACATTAAAGTTGAAATTTAAATCTCATATTTGTTAAATTTAACATGAAAAAATATTTTATAAAAAAATATAACTATTAAGCCACGAAGACAATTTCATACCTTCAATTGATTATAGTTACGTCATATATATAAAGATTAATGATAGTTTAATATAAAAATCTAACACTTAAGATTTCTTTTTAAAAAAATTAATTTAAAATTCCATAAAAACCAATGCAAAAACATTTAAACAGTTCCAAAAAGCAACAAACCCATATCTATCAATACGCATCCGCTTAGAAATTTTCCTTTGAAAACGATTTCTCATGTGAAACTAGCAACTTCGAGAGGATCTCTTTGATAATGACCAAGTGGGAATGGTTATATATAGTTGCTTAATAATTTTTTTGATATTATAAATTTTAAATATTAATTTTATTTAATTATTAAAATATTTAATAACTATAATTAAAAAATATATATTATTCTTGATTTTAATGAAAATTAGAGTTATGATATTAAATTACGTTATTTTATTTATTTAAAATTTAAAATTTAATTTTTATTAAATATTAATATTTAAATTTAAAAATTAATTAAAAATTTTAATTTTAAATCAAAATTTTAATTTCTAAATATAAATTTTAATTTTAATTTTTTTTAAAAGTTAAAATTGATAAACACATCTCTTATAATTATTAATTAATAAATAATATCAGGTATATATTAATATTTTTAAATATCATAATTTATTATTTATAAAAAAAATTATATTACCCTAATATTTTATTAGGTGATTATAATAATTTCTCGAAATCTGAATTTCAAAATCAAGGAAAAAGAGAGAATAAAAAAACCAAAAGTCAAAAAAAGAGAAAAAGAGACTAACCTTAACAACACTCCCAAATCATTTTACCCCACACCTCATCATCGTTCTCATAATACCCAAACCAAACAGTAAACAAGGGAAAAAGGGAAGGGAAGGGAGGCAAAAAGGAAAAAAGGCTGAGGTCCCTCCTGCTCCTCTGTTCTCTCTCTTTCTGTTAATTGCTTTGCAGAGTAGAAGTCGATGTTTCATCCTACCAACCGCATTTTCTTCAGCTGAAAGTCTCTCATCCAATTATTACTACTCGAGTTTGCTGAGCATAAAAGTAGGATGGATTTGGGTAGTGGGAGAAGGAGAGGAGGAGTTAGGAGTAGTGTGGTTGCGGGGTCGGTGTGGGAGAGTAGGATGAAGAGCGACCAAGTGAAAGGTGGGATTAAGGTTTTTCCTAATGCGGAAGAAAACCAAAGTAGCCAGGATGAAAATGGTGGGAATGGGAAAACGTTGAATTCGAAGAAAGGACAGACAATTGGGGGTGTGGCGGGTAATGGGAAGAGAAAGACATGGAAATCGGACAGTTTAGAAGGGGCTGAGAAAAACCCAATTCCGATTGCTAGAGGGAAAAATGAGCCGTCGCAGTCGCCGCAGCAGCCGCCGCCGAAGAGCCCAATTTCGGTGACTAAGGAGTTGAGTGTGTCTGTTGATGGAGTCAAGAAGAGTCCGGTTCAGGTGAAGAAAGGGAGATCTGAAGGAAGTAAGGAGCTTAGTAAGTCCGTTGATGGAATTGAGAAGAGCCCAAATAAGATTAGGAAGCTGAGATCTGAGATTCCAAAAGGATCAGCTGAATTGTCTAAGGAAATTGTTGAATCCGGTGTGAAAGGATCAGCTGAATTGGCTCAGGAAATTGTTGAATCGGGTGAAGTAGTGAAGTGTGATTCTGTTGAAAACAAGGAGAAATCGGATTTGATCAAGGTTGCAGATGAGTCTAGTAATGACCAAGGAAGTAATTCAGTTTTGGGTGATCAAGAGAATGAAAATGATGGGTCTGTTGAAGCAACAGAGAAGAATGGATCTGAGGAAAATTGCGAAGAATTTGGTGTTTGTGAAGAAAAGGTAATTTCAAGCACTGTCAGAAACACAGATGCAGATGGAGATGGGGATGCGCAGTTTAACGAAGGAGAAGAAGAAGAGGAAGAGGAAGTGGAAGTGGAAGAGGAAGTAGAAGAGGAGGAAATTGAGGTTGAGGTTGCGAAGAAGCAGATTGTCATTAAGGAGATGAATGTGCCAGAACAGAAGCCTAAACCGATTGTTAATGAAGTGAAGAAATTCAATCAATTCAACAACAGAAGTACACCATTTTCTTCCACTGTGAATATGCAGCCTCCTCCAGCTGTAAAAAGGGCTACTCCAATTTACACAAATCCTCCTTCAAAACCTTCTCATTGTAAGTGTTTAATCCATTTTCATGGTTTTTATTTTCAGTTTTTGTGTTTTCTTAGCCAAATTCTTTTCCTTCTGTCTCAGCTTCACATGATCACCAGAGTTTCCCACAATCCCATAACAAATTGCAGAACTTAGGTAAGAAATGAGAAGAAATTTCATTTTTTGGGATGATAAACCCCCTCAATTCTATCAATTGCATTTGCAGCATCTATCAAATCTATTCTTTGATCATGGTTGTTTGTGCAAAACTTTTCAGTGGATTTAGTAATGTGGAGAGATGTATCGAAATCAGCATTTGTTTTTGGGATTGGAACATTCATCATAGTCTCTTCTTCCTACACAAAGGACCTTAACATCAGGTTCTTGATTACAATCAACAATTTTTCACTCTGTTTTTGACCTCCCCTGTTTCAAAACAGAGCAAAATATCTAACTCTGTTTTAAACAATCTCCTTGCAGCTTTATCTCTGTGATCTCCTATCTGGGTCTAGTTTACCTTGCTACCATATTCCTCTACAGATCCATTATCTGCAGGTATGATAACTCTAGTCAAAACAAACTAAATAAGAAAGTGGGTCTTCTTCTGACTTATTACAAATAAATTCAGGGGAGTGCTGGAAATTGATGAGACAAACTGTGTACTTGGAGAAGAAGAAGCAGTTTGGATACTGAAATTGTTCCTTCCTTACTTGAATGAGTTCCTGCTGAAACTCAGAGCACTTTTTTCTGGAGATCCTGCCACTACCATGAAGGTAATTCCATTTTCCCTCTTGTTTTTTCAGCATTGAGGAAGGAAAGACACAAAAAGTTGAACATTGTGTGATAATGGCAGTTAGCAGTGCTGCTGTTTGTTCTGGCAAGGTGTGGCAGCTCCATAACCATATGGAAAATGGCCAAATTGGGTAAGTTTTATTTGGTTAAAAATTTACTTTTATTAAAAAAAATTCTTTTTATAATTAGATGGTATAAGTATAGAATAACATGATATTATATAACACACTATAATAACATGATATTTAATAAATAAATGCATAAAATATCATCATACCAATAACAAAAATAAGAGACCTGTCATGAAAACAAATGTCCATTTTTTTTCTTCTTGCTTTTGCTCCATTGTGGTTTTGCCAAGGGCAGTGATGTTGAGCTTTTTCCTGACACTTGATTGTGCTCACTGTCACAGGCTTTTTTGGAGTTTTCACCGTACCAAAAGTCTGCTCTTCCTATGCCCACCAATTAACTGCATTCGGTAAATTTCCATTTATTTACTTTTATTTTGTTTTATTATAATGTTTTTTTTATATATCTGAATGAGTTATATAAAAGAGAATAATTTTTTTTAAAATAATTTAATCCGATTTAAGATACGAAAAATAAAATTTTTAATTTAAAATCTTAAAATTTATTTTTTATTTTTTTGTAAATGAGTTTGTTACCTGCCCTATTAAGTTTTACCGTTATCACGGGAAACTTGGCCCACACCTCACCGAATGAATTATTAAGCGTTTTGTGGTCCGTCCGATCATTTAACGGCTCCTTATTTAATTGGTCTGATTCTCACCCCTCGTTGGTTGGATATTATGGACCCTACCATTATTTCATATATGTTGGGCCCAAAATCAATCCCTATCATTACATAAATTTTCTATCTCTAATCTCGGATTCCTTGACCCATCTACCTTTATTCCCTTCAATTAGTGTCACCCTTTTTCTCTTTTTTCTACCGTACATGATTAGTAGCACTTTTTAAACATGTTTAGTTAGAAAAAAGATTCCAATGTGTCGAACACTTTTATGCCATGGTAAGTATGATAATGTAGTATGTCAGAGTGACATTAAAGAATCTCATCACATTGTTTTCTAGTGAATTCTTAGTTCAATTTCTTTAAATTAGGTGGGTTGTTGTTATATTTTAAATAGTTAATGCTATATTTTTTAATTTAATTACTTATCATATCCTTACGTTATATTTTTTTCTCAAAACTTTGCATTTTTTTTTTGTTTCCTAATAAATTAAAGAGGATAATAATCAATTAGGATAAAAAAGTGAGGTATTAATAATTGAAGATGTGACAATAATATCACCTTTTTAAATTTTTAAAAAAGTGTTGTACAATTCAATTCGAACTACACAATATAAGCTATTGAATGTTGGCAGCTCCCTCTTCCACCTAATAACTTTTGTTTTGTAGTTTGATACAATTCAAATTATAAAATAAAAAATTTATTTATTTTGTAGGGCACCTTCAGATAGGTTGGCTGTTGGTTTGAGTTACTTAATAGTACTTAATCGGTTCATGGTTGTTGCATTGTCATTATCTGTCTGGAACTGAGTTGGTGGGTTGGTTAGATGTATAGATATGAATGTCCTAAATAATTTTGTCTATTCTTTTGAAAAGTTCAACAGACCAAACCAAACCAAACTTAAAAACATTGCATTTAATATTTCCGGCTGTCGATTTGTTCATGTAGTTAGAATTGAAAAATATGGTTTAATAATAGAAACTAACATTTTACCTAATGTTCAAAGGTAAATTTTGGATTAGACGATTTCGGGATGCATGGAATTCATGCACTCACAAGAAAGCTGTGGCAATGGGCATCTTCACTTTGGTCTGGAATTTATCTTCAACCATTGCTCGCATTTGGGCTGGTGAGTTACAGCTTCTACACTTCAAACTTTGGATACTTTAAAAAAGGAAAAAATTGTTAATGGCGGCGGTTCATGCCGATGTTTGCAGCGTTTGTGCTGTTTGTGGCTCTCCGGTACTATCAGCAAAGGATGTTGGAGGAGCGTGGAGAAGAGGATGCAGACCCTGGTGAAGAAACTCAAGAAACATTGCAGAGGAGGAACAGACACCCAAGGGGCCCAAGACACGGGCTCAGGCCTACCGTTCTGGAAGCAAATTTACCCAATAAACTTAAGAAAGGATTTTAAGCGCATAAAAATAAAACATAGGTAGAGTCCAAGGCCCATTTGTGTATGTTGTGGTGGTGTTTCACTAATACGCGC